CCCCAAAACCCCAAAACCCCAAAACCCCAAAACCCCAAAACCCCGAACTTTGGGTCAATATTTGAAAGTAAACTTAATGATTTCTTATCTGCGATATGGAAGAATTGGAGCATGCATTGGCATTCTTGAGTGAATAGGGTTTTCAGGAGAATTGACAAGGTCTGAGTCAGTGTGTGCATTTGGAATACCTTCATATGGACAACGAAGAGATCTGTATTTGAGGCTAGAGTTATCTAAACAAATAAGCAGATTTTAATGATAGTTTACCTCTATTTCTTTCATTTAAATCGAAGTTCATCATCTCATAGTTTGAGTCACTTTTAAAATCATTTCTTGATGGATCATGGCCTCCAAATGTAGGATGGTGGTTTCTTAGTTCAACATCTCTTCCATCGTCGATATAATGGACATCTCCTGTGAAAGAATCTTCTCTTTGGCCAAAAATAGCCGTTCTCGAATGGTCTATTACAGGATGACCATTCATAGAATCACTTATCCCATTGAAAGAATGCTCATGGTGAAGTCCAGGAGGATAGTGGTCAGAATGTTTAACTAAAAATTTATTGTAAGTTAATACCTTCTCTTTGTGTGAATGATTTAGTAACACTTTTTGATTTTCTTCCTATTGGTCCTGTAATGCTCCTTCTCCTCGCTCTGTTTTGATAAATAAGTATCCTTACCTAGACTTATCCTTCATAACTGAGAGCTTAATTTTACTTTGAACGTTCTTATAAGGACTCTTGTTTCTTCGCTCTTTTTTATAGTACTTTTCATTCTTGCTCTTTGCAGACTTTTTCATAGCTCTTCTCTTGTTTTCATATTTCTGCCTTTTCTTAAGAGCTATTTTCATATCTCTTTTAGCTAGTCTCTCTACTTGAGGGTCGACTCTTGGCTTAACACCAGGAGATTTCACCTGGCTATTGAAGAAATGTCCATCTGCAATTCTAATGTCTTCATTATCTCAAATACGATCATAGAAGTATTCTTGTTCAACATTTCTATTGGTATGACTTCTCTATACTTTTAATTAATAAGAAGTACCTTGACACTTTTCTTTTTAGATTGCTTCCAAGGGTCAAAAGCTATGGCTACCCCTCCTCTAGAAACCTTTACTTCTGCATTTTGGATGCATGATTTCAATGGGCTGGTCTTTCCTCCTTTGTAAGGCAACTCAGAGCTGTATTTCATTGATCTGTCAAGTGTCGTTACTACCTGAGCTTGACGATCCTTTGAACTACTTCTGACTCTATGATCAACAACAGCATTCAAGTCACGAGTGAATTCTGGATTAAGAGAATTAAAATTTGAAGTATTCCTTCTACCATTAGGAGGAAAATTTGATTTTTCTTCATAACTATTCGATCTTGACCTTTGGTAATAAATTTCTTCCTTCTGTAAGACTTCTCCTTGGCCATCTTCCTGACTTTCTCCCTGAGTTGAGTCAACCTCTCTACTCTTATGATTTCTATTCGATTTCTGAGAGTAATTCCTTGAATACTCAGAGTTGTTTAAATGATCGAATCCCCCATTGTATAAGTCTCCTTGGGAATGAAGATGTCTGTTTTCTACAGAGATTAGTTAATTCTGCTGTCTCTAAACTTACTGTTTTCCTTAAATTTATCTTGCCCATAAGCATTGGATCTCTCAGCATCCAGGAGACCATCTGCTTCATTCTCAATTGTATTTTTTGCATATCTTTGGTAATACGTATGAGTTTTACCTAAATTTTATTTCAAATTTTACATTCTTCAACGTATTCTTGACGGCATTTCTTAACATTTTCTAATGAATAGTGAGTTATTCCTTGGTTTTTCTCCTTGAATACCTGAATGCCAAGTAGTCAGAGCTCTCTAACGATATAGTTAACCTCCTTCTCTCTGATGGGGCCTAAGAAAGTACGAATGTTCTTATCTCTGTAAATGCAATCTTCCATAATTCTAATTTTTAAACAATTGTTTGTTATTTTTCTTAATTTGTATTTAAGAAATATTATTGCATCAACTAAAATGATTAGATTCGGGGTTTTGGGGTTTTGGGGTTTTGGGGTTTTGGGGTTTTGGGG